CTAATCTCACAAATAAATCCATCATATGGTGTGGAACTTACAATGAATGACTGTTTCAATTGTTCTCCATCAATACATTCACTGTGTGTTATTGTTGAATTTTCTTATCTTCAATCAAAAAATCATGTTTTCAATATTGAATTCACTAGAATTGAGAGTGGTAATAAAATCATCATATTGTTGTGTTTCTCATTTAATATTTAAGTTCATTCAAATATGAATTGGTCATTATCATATGTTGTACATTCATTAATAAAATGATGACATTCATTGATTTGTTTATTTCAATGAATCTTGATTTGGTATTATCTTCTCTGTTTTCATAATAATCTGTTAGAAATATGTAGAAAACAAATGTATTTCTTTTCTAAATCCAACATCAATTTTACCATGAATAATCCATTTTGCATATGTTCCATCTGAATAATATCATCTTGTATAAATATTTTGATGTTGATTTACAATATGAAAACATGATAAAATACATACACCATCAACTCGATAGATATCAATTTTGATGTTTCTAAATGAGTTTCATACACAAATTCTTATTGTTTTAGTTTTTCTAAGAAGATTATTTGTTTAGATGAAATGTACCAAACAACTCTTGAAATGATACTATATCATACTTGTTAAGTTCTTCATCATCAAATCTCATTATTCTTTCTTATAATCATTTCATTGTACAATAATTCATGATTGATAAGAATGAATAATGGAATTAATTTAAATGATTGATGTTGAAGAGGATTAATCATCAATTTATTGTTTGAAAGATGACATTCAATCAGATATAAAATGAAAAATATAATGATTGATTTGTTCATTTTTTAATTTAGAATAATGATTGATGTGTTTTATACTCTATGATAAGAGTATAATGAACAAGATATAATAATATTCTGATAATACTATTTGATAATATCATTCTCTATTTGAAGAACATTCACTTTTATCAATTCTCTCTTTTTCTAATTATTTAAAGAATCATATGAAAATATGAATGAGAATTCTCATAATTGAATGTTGAAGTAAGAAAAATACTTCATTCAACAAAAATCAAAATAAATGATAAAATAAATGTGTTTGTTTATTTTATTTAGAATTTCATTGTTTATTGTATCTTCTTTCTCTTTGTCTTTCATAATTACTTCATCATCAATATTAATCATGATAGTTTGTTTCATAAAAATAAATTTATTATGTTTTGATTTTGAATATCATCAAATAAATTAACAATGTGTTATATCTTTATTATTTAACATTAATTTAATATCAATTTGTTGTTTGTATTTAGAAGAATAAAATAATTAATAATGATTATAATGTGAATTATTCTTTGTTTATTACATCTTCTTTATTTATATTCATTTCTTCTTATTCTTTATTTCTTTATTTTTCATTCTTGTTGTTTCTTTCATATTTATATTCATTATTGTTATTATCATTATTGTTATGTATTTATTATTGTTTATTTCTCTATTTCATTGATAAATTTCATTATCATAATGATGTATTGTTATTATTTTGTATTGTTATTCTTGTTGTATATTATTTATCTTTTCTTCTTGTTCTTATTGTTATTTCATTTTATTATTGTTTATTGTTTGTTTTGATTTATCTCTTTCTTCTTTTTCAATTTTCATTATCTTCTTTTAATTTCTTGATAATGTTGTGTTGTTTGTTAATTTATTCTTTATTATCTTCTTCTTATTTCTTTATTTATTTCTTATTTAACTTTCTCTCTTTTCATTTTATTTTGTTTCAATTCATTTTGTTTTATATCATCATTTTCTTTATTTATATTTATTCTTCATATTCTCTTTTCACTTATTTACTCTTTATTTTCTTATTTTCAATTGAATTTCTTTGTTATTATTTTATATTTCTTATTGATGTTATCTTTATTGTTTTTATCTTTATTCATATTTTCTTATTCATTTTTCATTAATATTTCTTTTCATTCACTTTTTCATTGTATTCTTTTACTATTCTTATTATGTATTTTATTACTACTTCATTATTCTTCTTTATCCATTGAATGTGAATGTCTTATTTAGTTTTCATTACATTACACAATGAAGATATTCAATGAAGATAAATTATTATATTATTTATTTCAAAATCAATTTTTAAATAACAAAAATATTAAAATGTTATAAAAATCAAAATTAAATGAACTTAAAAATAAATAAAAGATGAAAAGTAAAACAATAACAATGATAATTGATATTGAATATGATAAAATGGATGTGTATTTGTATGATGGAAATGAATATGAAAGAATTGATAGAATGAAATATTTAAAAGAAGAAGAAAAGAAAATAATTGAAGAAATCATTTCCAATGATAAGAAGAATGTGAAAATTAGAAAAGAAAATATTAAAGGAGTAGAAATGATGATTAAAACAGAGAGTAAATTATCAATGATATTCAATAATATTAAGAAAGAAGTAGAAAAGAAAGGAGAAAATGAAAGAACAATCATTTGTATTCCTAATGGAACAAGTCAAGGAAATGAAAGAAGAATAGAAAATTCAACAAAACTAGGAAGATTAAATAATGTACAAATCATACGGAAATATCATATAATTGAAAGAATACATTCAGAAGAATATAACATAGAAACACCAATTCTTATCATAGAAAATACAGAAATAACATATGGAAATATTAAAAAAGAAAAAGATAAGATAAAAATAAGAATAATAAATAATATAAGAACAAACAATACAACAGAAGAAAATAAAGAAATCAATAGAATAACAACAGAAGAAAAAAGAAGAGAAAGGAATAATAATAAATAATAAAATAAAACAAGAAAACAAAATAAACACAAAAAGATGGAGATATAAAGAAATCAACAAAGAAACATATATTAAAACAATAATAGAAATGATAGAACAAGAAGAAGAATATTCAGAATATTCATCAGAAAGAGAAATGATAATAAATATCAAAAGAATAATATACAATAATAAAATCAATAAAAGAATAATTAGAAAAAGAAGAATAGGATATAATGAAATAATGATAACATCAATGTATTTTAATGAAATTAAAGATTTTATTAATTTAGAAATAGGAATTAAAAGATTTCAATGAAATATGGAACGATTTCATTTTAATCCAATTCCATTAAATGAATATTCAAGAAGATTCTTTCCTAATATTGAAACATTTCATATTTATAATAAAAAAGATAAAATATTTAATGATGGAAGAATATTTAAATATGTAATATGGTATACAATAGATTATTCAACATATTTATTCGAAAAAGAACAAGAAAATAAATATAAAAATATAGAATATACGGAATATGATAGAAAATCATATGGAAATACAATACCATCAGAAGTTAAATTACTTGGATATGGATATTTTGAATATTATAATGAATTAACATCAATTAATATACCAACAACAATTAATGAATTAGGAATTTGTTGTTTTTACAAATGTGCATCATTAACATCAATGAATATAGATAATATACAATTTATTAGTGAAAAAAGAATATTTATGAATGAACCAGTGTTATTTAGTTTTGAAGTACC